TTACTTCTTCAAACTCTTTCATCTTTTACATTCTAGAGTAGTGGATCAACCCTTTCATCCGCTGACCGCGGGCAGTCTTGAAACCAAAAATCCGGGCAGGGGTTGGGTGTTGGTGGGTTTCTGTAGATTGTGATCAACATGTACATATAGCCATGTCACCCTTAATCCGGGTCGGGGCCCCTTAGTTTTGAGACTAAACGCCTCGAGAAATACACACACACTGTGTGTGTGTCTGTGTTTTATTTTCTTGATTTTTGTTTTCTCCTTTCTTTTTCTCTCTCTCCCCCATCTCTGCACTTTATTCTCTTCAAAATTCGATACTTAGCTCTGTACTCAGAACGAGGTTTTGAGAACAGAACATACACCACCCCCACCCCCACCCCCACGCCACCCCATCCCACCCCCACCCCCCATAAAACCAAAGGGCATACCTCTCTACTACATTGTCTCTTGTTTATGTTAATGTTCTGCATTGTCCTGTTTCTACATTCAGAATCTGAGTATCTCACTGCTCACCCCCTCCTTCAATCCTTTTCTTTGTTTTTCTTTCCGCTGTGTTGTTCTGTACTTGTCAAATTACAGAAACACCACCACAAAGCAATTTCTCAACTGGGTATTCTTGTAATTTAGCACATGCCAAGAACCTAGGATTGTTGTCTTCTTCTTCCTCCCCTCTTGTTTTGTTTTTTCTCTTGATCAACTAGACTGAACATTGGTGCCAATTGGAGGGATAAAAGGCTACAAATTTGTAGCAAATTGGTTATCTTGTGATCTTGTTTAAATTTCTGAAAGATTGAGGAAGTTGTCTATATATGAAGTGGTGGAACAATGAGAGATGGAAACACAAAGAAAAGCAAGGTTTGTTTCTGTTCATTAATGAGCCTTTAATGGATTATCTCTCTGCATTGTTAGTTTCAAGATTTCTGATTTTTTTGTTCTTGATGAAGTTTTCTTGGCCTAAGACCCTAGTCAAGAAATGGCTCAACATCAAAAGCAAAACTGAGGATTTTCATGCTGATGACATCATCCATGGAGGTATTATTTCAATTCCATCTGCAAATTAATTGTAAAAAAATTCTGATTTGGTTTCTGAAAAAAAATAAAATTCGAGTCTTTGAGAGTTGTAATGAAAAAAAATGGAGTCTTGAAGCTTTAATGAAAAAACCCAGATCATTCTTTTCCAAGATCTCATCTTCTATATTGTTGTATCATGTATCTGAAATTACCAAGATTAATTTTTTTCTCCTGTCTGAAAAAAATGATCTTTTTTTATTTTTGTGTTTAATATTAAATGCAAATGTGGGTCATATGCTGCAACAGTCCATTACCACAGCTTTAAAAACTTTAAGTAATTGCTTTTTCAGGTATTGATGAAGAATTGAGGAACAATTTCTCAGAGAGGGAGGCATGCACTATCAAGAAAAGCAAAACAGGTTCAGATTCAGACAACTGGTTTTCCTTTTGGACCACATTTTATTATTAATACATAACAATTAACCCCTTTCTGTTTCACTAATTAAATTCACAGAAAAATCGACTAAACGAACCTCCGATCGTCTCCGGCGAAGTAAGATTGATCTCGATGCCAACCAAATTACAGATGTCAACAACTACAGGTTTGTTCTAGTCTTCCATAATCACTAATTATTATTAAATAAAATAAATAAATAAATAAATAATGGTTTTATTTTATATTGGAATAGGATCTTTGTGGCAACATGGAATGTAGCTGGAAAATCTCCACCTAGTTATTTAAATCTTGAAGAATGGCTACACACCTCACCTCCTGCAGATATATATGTTCTTGGGTAATTACTTACGTACAAAATAATTTCAAAAATATTAATGCTTTGCTAAGAAAATTTGTTAATAATGACTCCATATTTATAATTCTCTTTTCAAGGTTTCAAGAAATTGTCCCTCTTAATGCTGGTAACGTACTCGGAACAGAAGATAACGGGCCCGCCAAAAAATGGCTATCCCTAATTCGAAAGACACTAAATACACTACCGGGTAGTGGCATTAGCTGCCGTACTCCTTCGCCAGTTCCAGATCCAATAATCGAACTCGAAGATGATTTCGAAGGATCAAACAGAGAGAAAGCTTCTGCTTTCTTCCACCGCAGTTCTTTCCAGTCGTTAAGCCGGAGCATGAGAATGACAGAGAAGGATATTTTGACCCCACAGCCTAATCTGGACCGTCGGTTCAGCGTATGCGATCGTGCGATGTACGGTCACAGATCGAGCGATTATTACGATCCGAATGCCACCTGGGATTGCTCGTCCGATGATGAAAACGGGCTGAGTGATTCGCCTTACGCGCATTATCCCTCACCTGTTTCTTACAACTGTTCTGTTTCTGTTGAGGAGAGAGACAGAAATCAAGGGCAGTCGAAGTATTGCTTAGTTGCAAGCAAACAAATGGTCGGGATTTTTCTTACAGTGTGGATAAGGAGTGATTTACGAGACGCTGTTCGTAATTTGAAGGTGTCTTGCGTTGGAAGAGGGTTGATGGGGTATTTAGGAAATAAGGTACGGTTTCTTCTTCGATGGAATTTTTTCACGAATCAAGAACGAAAATAATCCACATTCTTGTTGTATTAATTTTTTATTTATTTTTTGCAGGGCTCGATTTCTATTAGCATGTCTTTGCACCAAACGAGCTTCTGCTTCGTTTGTACCCATTTAACATCTGGAGAGAAAGAGGGCGACGAAATGAGGAGAAACTCGGATGTAATGGAAATTTTGAGGAAAACGAGGTTTCCGCGTGTTCACACTGTGGGTGATGAGAACTCCCCTCAAACCATTCTTGAGCATGAGTAAATTATTCAAATTTGATTTTATTTTTAATGGTTCTTGTTACTTCATAAATATAACGAAGCCCTTCACGAGTTTCTTCTTTCTTTTTTCCGACACAGTGGGGTTAAAATCTAAATACTATATATTTGTGTGTGTTGTTTCAGTCGAATCATATGGCTCGGAGATTTGAATTACAGAATCGCACTGTCTTACCGATGTGCAAAGGCTCTAGTCGAGATGCGAAATTGGAGAGCTTTGTTAGAAAATGACCAGGCAAGCAACAAAAACAAACCGACTCCCCATTTTATTTTCAAAATGGAATACGTAAATCATCGCATTGATTATTCATGTATCCCGTTTATTTTTATCTTTTAAAACAGTTACGTATAGAGCAGAGACACGGGAGAGTTTTCCCCGGATGGAACGAGGGCAGAATATATTTCCCTCCTACATACAAATATTCAAATAATTCCGACAGATACGCTGGCGAAAATATGCACCCAAAGGAAAAACGACGAACTCCTGCATGGTAATTATAAATCTTTTTATTCATTCAAATTTTTACATGCCAATAAAGTATATTATATAACGATGGTATTTATGTTTATTTATTATGAATGAAGGTGTGATCGAATACTATGGCACGGTAGAGGCTTACAACAACTATCCTATGTTCGTGGGGAATCGAGGTTTTCAGATCATCGACCAGTTTACAGTATATTTTTGGCAGAAGTTGAGTCGATTAATCGAAGCAGAATAAAGAAAAGCACTAGTTATTCGAGCTCTAGGGTTGAGGTTGAAGAGTTGCTTCCGTATGCTTATGCAAATGGATACGCCATACCGTATTTTTCATGAGGATTGATTGATTAACTACCTTTTGCACTCTGGATAATATTATCCTGGAATATTGGGACAAGAAGCTGCTATGCAATAAGGTCAGTTTTTTTTTTCTTCGAATTTTCGTGTTTATTTCATTTAATTTTAATTGTTTAGTGAGTAAATAAAATATTTTTATGGTTTACAGTTTGTGATACGGAGGATATACCCCATGGCTCGGACAACTTTGTTATCGATGCGTGCAGTTAATTCTTGATTCAGGTAATTAATATGCCAAAGAGGATAAAGTAATGAACCAATAAATCGTTAAATAGTTAGTAAAAATTCAAAATTCGCTAATTCAAAACCTCGCTTGTATTGTCTTGACAGGCTCATATTGTTAAACGGGATTTTCTCATCGGTTCCGTTTTTGTATATAGAATAAACGCAACATCAAGAACAAGAATCCCGAGGCTGTAGCCAATAACGAGGTACGAAACTTCATCAATCTTCTTGCTAAAACTTCACATCCACTTACAATTACAGTAACTTCATAGGTGGTTAATATCGTATTTTGCATGGTTTTGCAGGAGGGCGGTGCGATTTCGTAAATAGCAAAGTGACTCGATTGCAAATACTCGTATTCTTTTTTAGCAACATTGTAGATTTGTTAGTGAATGGAGAAGAAGTTGAATTATTGGGGCAATAGGAAAAGTAGAGAATCTATTCGAAATAGTTGACAGAGCAGTGGCTTAGATAATGTACCGCATATATAAGTAGCATCAAATTTCCATTAAAACAGAGTTTCTACAGATAAAGTTTTCTTGTCCCAACAGAGACATATTTGATTGATTGCCTTCTTCTTACAACTCCAATTTGTACTTGCATTACATTTTTCACTTTTGTGTGTATGTGTGTGTGATTATTTTCAAATAATTGATTCATGTTCAACACATGCACCACGTAAAAGACTACCAAAAGTATTAAATTATTGAAAAATAATGGACAAAATATGTTTTTTTAAATTGAAGGGATTAAATGTGAAATCTGTGCAAACTTGAGGGATAAAAATTGTATTTTCCCGATTCACAATATCACAAAACAATTTGTTTGAAATGCATAAGTAGGGATTTTGATAAATTATTATAAAAAAAATAAGGATTTTGATAAGATTACAATATATATATATATATATATATATATATATATATAATATATATATATATACATAAAATTACAATTCTTGATATCAGAATTTATATAAAAATGTCAATAATATGTAATAACATTAGCAAGCATAAAGTTCTGGTTTTTATTGGAGAATTAATATGGGGAAATATATGTAATGTAATATTGGTGGAGTTGCGTTTATTATTCCAAGAAATGAAGTTTGTATAGTGACAGGTGGACAGAGTGAAGTACTCTTATAAACAGAGTGGCATGTGGCGGCGTTAGCGGTGGCGGAATTTGGGGCCCCCCGTGGGCCGGCCGATTTGTGCTGATCAATTTACAGATAACCCGTACTAAAACTCACAGTTGCTGCCATCAATTTTTATTAATTTTGTTTTGTCTTCTCATTTGTTTAACTGTTTCAATTCTGGGTTTTTTAAGTTGTAATAGTGTTTTTTTCTTTCTTTTGTCGGTTTTAACAAGTGGTTGATTCATTAATTTTTCCTCTGTCGTTGTATTAAATATTATAGTCAACTATAGTTACTAGTCCATGCTGGCAAGCTGTTCTTCCTTTAATTTTTTTCTTTTCTTAATTTAATTCTTCCACAATTATTTTTATGCAGAACAATTAAAAGAAAATAAAAGACGGGGAAGTATTTCATTTAATTTAATTTAATTGTTCCACAATTCTTTCACTTTTGTTTTCATCTTTTTACTTTTAATTCATATAATTTAATTACTTGCCCAATATTAATTCTCCATGAAATTCCAGAACTTGGTACTTGTACTATTTTATTTACAAATTATTGATACTTTTCTTTTTTTTTTGAAATAAATTGTGATATCAAGAATTGTAGAGTATTTATTTGGCCACATATACCCTTGTGGCCATATTCTTCTTTAATGTGTTTTACCACTTTGACTAAAGTAAGGTATGGAGATTTGCCCTTGTTAAGGTAACACTTTTGTTTTATTTTATTTTAAGATAAAAGAAAGAGAAAGAGAGACAATGATCCAAGTGGGGATGGGAAGCACCACCTTGGTTTCCATTTTAGGAGCATATCTTTTTTTTTTAATTTAATTTGAGGTATTCACATACGTCTATTTTGGTTTTGATTAAAGTTCTTTGGTTTAAATTTTCATTTACATAACATCCCTATCTTAATTACATACTTCGAATTCGAGCTCATTGATTCTTTCAACTCAATTGAATTAATACTTTTAATCTTAAATTAAATCGAATCTGTGGAACTCACACTTCGATTTCACTTCGTAAAATAATGACGAGTTTATTCCAAGTTCGGAACGTAATACTTTGATTTATTTATACAAAAAAGGGCAATATAATCACCCAAATCTCTAGGCAATATAATAAGAAATGACTTTTTCATTTTGTGCAGGCTTCACATGTTTTTCTTTAGCGACACTATCCTGTGCAGGACTGTGCGTTTATACATTTTTAATGTAATAAGCTATTTTTATTTCATTTTCACTTGTATTTTTAACTTACATTAATAATATTTCAATTTTATTGACGACAAATTATGATATTTTATTGGTAAACATCTATTTACCTAACAATATTAATAAATTTCAAAAAAAAAAAAAAGAATTTGGCCAAAGCATAAATACATGAAATAACTCTTGTCTGGAATGATTTTTTCAGTAACAATAAAAATAAAAATTAATTTCTAAAAAAAATTATTTAAATTATAAAACAATAAAAGCCCAAACCCACTGGCCATTTATCTGGAAATTCGTACAATTCTACCTCAGCCTCTGCAATAACCTCTACAGTTTCCGATGGAGCCTGTGGCCAAATTTACAATTGGATGGCCACAACGTGTCAAATTATAACTGGTTGAAGGGGCCTCTCTCTCTCTCTCTCTATCAACTCAAATATCATCATCAACGGTCATCAGCCCCCTTTGCCGGTAGTCGCTTCTGCACGCGTTGTTAACTCAATCACGTGACGAACACGTGACGTCATTTGTTTACCATTTTTTACGCTATTATTAATCTACTGGGGGGGCTTGTATCCACCCCCACTTCTGGCAAAAGAAAAATATTTCATGACTTAATCTGACGATCAGAGAGACAATAATATGTGCCAGGGTGGCAGGGTGTACATTCCCATTAATATTTACATTTTCTTTTAATTATGATCAGGAAACAAAATTTTATATTATTAATTATTTAGGACTGCAGCTTGCTGATGTTTGTATGACTTATATAATTTAAAATTTAGGAATTATTTGTACATTAAAATTTTGCAAGGATCCATAATTGGAGAGGAGGAAAGAGTGATAAACTTTTCAAATATTTAGACTTGACTTTGACATACGATTGCAATAATTGGACAGGACAAAATTTTATTTGTCTGCAATTAATTGTCTATCACGATCGAAGCTTTCATAGTCGTGATGGAGAAAAAGGAGACGTCTCTATAATAAGATAATAAAACTTTTACAAAATGGTAAATTAAAACCACTCCTTGAGCTAAAATGTAATTGTAAACAAATCTTTTTTTTTTTTTGAGTTTATAAATTTATTACATTCACCCCTACAAAAGGATGTTGATGTAAGAAATCTACAAATTATAGGATATGTATGTAATTATGAAAAAAATAAAGGATTTTTTTTTTTTAAATAAAACTTACATTCAGGAGTGATTGAAATTTGCCAAAGGTACTCTCTGGCAACCTATTGGCTTAACGAATTTAAATATGTTTTTACTCTATAAGTAAATGTAATTCTCCTTGAAGGGGGGAAAAATAGGCTAATCCAATTTATATTTATTGCTATTGTCACCACCAATTATTCACTAGGGTAAAAATGAATTAAACTGATCTTCATTGGCGATCAAAACGGCAAACAGATTCATACACCAAAACGGCAACAGATTAGGTACATAAAAAATTCACAAATTCGGGCAATTTTCAAGAAAATCATTGATGGGAGATGACGTCACAGTAATTAATATAGTAAAAACCAGTAGAATTTTATTAGGTGCTAAAATGAGGATTGCTTGTTAAAGAAGCAGTGTCAGAATATCTGAGTTACTCAGAGATGGATATAAATGATGAATTCAGTTTTGTGCACACGAGGATGGGTGGGGGTGATGTATGTATATCTACATACTTCAATTGTACTCACAGTAATTATGCCCAGTCAAACAAAATCAGAAAATTCACCAAAAACGAAATGAAGAAGAAGAAGAAGAAGAAACAAAAGGCTTTTAATTCATATTTAATTTAAACATGGGGATTGCGTAGACTAGGGTTTTAACAGTTTAGTAATTACATATGCAAATTCGTGAACGAATAGCATTCAAGTAAATTTCTTTAATTGGTAAAAACCCATTACCCAGATTTTTTTTTTTTTTTTTTTTTTTTGCAGATTTAGTGCATTGAATCATGGGAGGGTAATACTAAGCTGTAGATGAATCTGTGGTCGTCAGATTTTTAATATGGGTTCAAATGTTGACTTGAATCTTACGCATAACAGTAATCCCCCAATTCAGATAATAAGATAGTAGAAATTTATTATTATATTCATTTAATTTTAATATCATCATTTTTTAAGTTGAGTTTATCTAATTTCATCTGCATTATATTTTCATTAGTCCTCATTGAATTCCTATTTCACTTCATTTGACCTTTACTTTTATCTCATTTAAAACATGCCAATTAGTATATATATTGAAATGAGCCAAGTGTTTTCGGCTTCCCATGTCATACCTGGAAAACATTACTACTTCCACAACCTAGTAAATCAGGGTAACAATACTCACATAAGCTACAAGTATCAACGAGATATTTGTGAGTGTGCGTGTGTGTGTGTGTGTGTGGGGGGGGGGGGGGGGGGGGGGGGAAAAAAAAAAAAAAAAACCTGGGGAAACTCCCCCCCCATTGAAACTATAAAAAAAAAAAGGGGGGCCCACCCCA